TAGATTTGGTTTAATTCACAATTTAATTTTTCAAAGCAGGTTAATGAAATATCAGTGAACATTGCTGTTTGGAGGCTGACTTACATTGCATGTACCTACTACATTGAATAATTTAAAAATAAATTCCAGGATTTATGATGTCAACTATGATACCATTCACATTAAATACATTTTTGAAGATTCTCTTTTATTACATTACATAAAGAATGGACATTTTAAATGGTAGCGCAGACACATAATGTTCAGTCAGAGACAATATATGCGTATTAAAATTTTGTATATTTTGATAAAGTAAAAATAAAGCTATATAAACTGATCTTTAGGTTTTTTTCTGCAAAAGTAGAGTCACGCTTTCTAACACTTCCGAGACATCTTCATTAAGCTTGCTTTGTAGACGCAGCGTCCGAATGACTCTCACTCATTTTCACCACCTATACCTAAAAAAGAGGATTGCATTTGCCAGCTGGTATTTTCTCTGTTTTTAAAGTTACAAATGGGTAAGTTCCAAAAGAAATGCAGAATGCACGGGCCTAAATTCCAAGCTGTTATATTGTGTTGTCAAATAAATAATATTAATTTTAAGATAAAACAGAGTGGCTGCAGTGGTTCAATACTAGTCAGTGCAAAACACATGAACTCAGTGGTTTAAGGAGCGAGGCCGGAGGCCCTCAGACTGCACTGAACAGACTGGCCGGTGCTTGACACTTTAGAACAGTCACCACAGCCTGTATGAGGCATTTTTGTAGTTAAAGATGCAAAATGCTCAGCAAGCCAAATGGAGAATCACCTGTTACTGGATGGCTTGTCACATCTGCTGTGCTGTCTAAGCCTCCCCCACAACCCCCCATCCGGACGGCCCACCAGGGTCTCAGGCACGCCGGCCCTGTGGGTGCGGGTTGCTCTGCCTGTCCACCCCATCCGCTGAAACACACAGGGAGGGGTTGGTCTGACTTAAGAGAAAAATGCCTGTTTCCCTAGCTGGCATGTGGCACAGGCCTGGTCCATGCTCCCAGAAGCACACAGACGTGGGTGCGGGTTGCTCTGCCTGTCCACCCCATCCGCTGAAACACACAGGGAGGGGTTGGTCTCACTTAAAGAGAAAAATGCCTGTTTCCCTAGCTGGCATGTGGCACAGGCCTGGTCCATGCTCCCAGAAGCACACAGACATGGCCCACAGCTGTGGAGGGTCAGGTCCCACTTGCTGCACTTGGTCTGGGGGCTGGGCTGAGGGGAGGTGCCAGCTGGGGGACTGGACTTCCCCGAAAGGGAAGAGCTCAGCCCAGGCCACTGCAGTGCTGTTCAGAGAACAGCTCAGGGCAGCAAAGCTGCAGCTTCACCCACCGTGGCCTGCCCTGCAAAGCCCTGAACATCTTTGCCAGGAGGAGCCTCTTCATCCTACAGGGGGGGACTCCAGGGAGCCCTGTCCTCTCAGGCCTGGCCAGAGGCTCCTCTCAGGGGCCCTCAGAATGTAAGGAGAGCACGCATGGATGTGTGGTGTGTGAGCACGTGTGTGGTGTGTGTGTGCACGAGCTTGCACATGTGCACGGCCTTTGAGTGAACGTGGACCTGAAAGTAAGAGGACACAGGTGCAGTCAGGCCCACTCAAGCACGTCTAAGGATCTGCAGTGAGGAAATGGGATGTGAACTGGAAACCTTGTGTCCTGATCAATACGGCAAATTACAAGTTGATGATTCATTAGCATGTGCAGGAGTGAATATGACCTTCAGAACAAAGGCAAGTGTGTAAAGCTGACATCACCTGCTGTAAAGTCAGCCGAGGCAGGTCAGTACTAACTGCTGGGAGACGGAAACCGTGTTAAACCACACCTGAAATGTCATTTCACTGGGCTCTTCTTTTTCTCCTTTTATTTTAAATCTCCTGCCCCTTCTCTATTTCAGATGATCAAGCAGATTCCTTTAATAATTTCCCAAACATCTGCTTAGAAGGCATTTTGAAGCGTGTGGAAGTTTAGTGACTTTCATGCTAAGACTTGAACTACTAGGGATAAACGGCAGCAGCCAGGGCGCAGGCAGAGCTGGGCTGCAGCGCCCGGAGCACCGCGTGACAGTCTTCTGTCCTTAAGGCTGAAGGATGGAAAGTAAAAGCAAAAGCAGACGAAACGGCAACGGATTGTGAAGAGAAAGCACAGCAAATTATTGTACCCTAAATACTCCTGCCAACTAATCACGGCCCCAAAGTACCCGGAAACAGAGGTGCAGAGAATAAAATCAAATCTGAAAATTCCCATTCACCAGATATTGAAACATCAGCCAAAACTCTCAACAAAATTTAAATGTAGAGTGACCAAAAACGTCGTAACTTAAAAAACAAAAGCTTTAAAAACATACTTTAAATATTAGATGATACATTAACAAGTAAAAGAATAAAAGAGATATAAACAGCTATGAAAATAGTTCAGTGCAAAGGCAATTTTAAGATTTCTAAAAAAATACATTACAAACAATTTTTTAACTAAACATACAGAGAACCTGTCCCCCGCAGGTGTAGACTTACTTCCACACTGGGGTCTTAAAAAGGGCTAAAAACGCACACACCACAGGTGCAGGGTCAGCATGGCCGGGGCCGCCAGGCACAGACCTGGGTGGCGCTGCGAGGCGGGGCGGGGCGGGGCGGTGTGAGGGGCACTCGGGAAACCCCGAGGACGACCCTCAGGGTGCAGTGGAGCCTCCCCACTGTCTATCCGAAACCAGACCCTCAGGATCCTAATCTTTGGTATGGGGTTTACACTGCCCCTAATTTATCCCAACACTGTGCTCACTGTTCTTGCTGTTAACTTACCCCCTAGTTCAAATAACTATTTTATAGGTAAAACGTTAGACAATCAAATTGTGAAACTTGAACTTCCCCAAATATCTACTATCGAGCACCTCAGAAACGGACCCCCCACGTCCTGCAGCTTCTCAGCATGACATCTAGTGGCGGGCAAGGGGCTGACGACTCTTCCTTCAGCTTCTGGGTGACCCTCTTCTACAGAGGCTCAGTTCTGTGTCTGGAGTTTGAATCTCAAACTGAAATGTCTCCTTTAAGAACCATTAAGGCTATGTCACATAGATTATTTCTGGAAATAGAAACGCCGGCGAGAAAGTAACAGGAACTCTACAACACTGGCCTTCTGACGGCTCACCCACCCCACAGAGACACTGGCCCAAAGCCTGGGACAGTGGAGTGACATGAGAACACGCAGAGCCGGCATGGAGGTCACAGCCCGAAGGCAGTCCCCGCCCGTGACACTGGCCATGTCAGCCTGAAACAGACCTTGGAAGGAGCCTGTTCCCTGGGGGCCGCGGCTTGTTGAAGAGGAAGAGGTCTGACCCTCACAGCTAAGTATCTGCTTGGGTACCCCCGGCCACCATCCTCCCCCCAACATCCGTGAAGCCTTCCAGTGACAGGAAGCTGACAGCTTCGTCCCCAGGCACGGCAGGTGGATCTCAACACCTTCCTCGAAGTGCTGCAGCAGACACTCTGTTCTCCACGGGGTGACTGATGGGGGGTGCACACTGAGACACTCTGAAGCCTCAGCAGATGGCCCCAGATGCCCCCGCTTCACCATGCGGAGGGGGGACGGTGGCTGTGGGAAAAGGGGACGCTGTCAGGGGCTGACTCGGCCATTTCCCTCCCCAGGAGGACCAGAGGGTCTCGAAGTTCAGCAAGTACAGCAACGGCCGGCAGGGACACAATGGCGGTGTCCACAGGAGCACAGAGCCTCCACTGAGTACCCTCCGGGGGTTACAAGGGCGTTTCCAAGCGGGACCCGTGGCCGCTGTGTGGACAGCCAGGGCCCCTCCAGCTCCTGCAGGCCACCTCCGGGGGGTGGGGGCCCTGCGGGTAGGCGAGGGGAGAGTGACTCCGAGGCTGCGGGTGCATGTCCTGTGGGAAGAGGACAAGACACGGTCAGGGCGGGTGCGGGGCCCTCCGCCCAACCCAGCCAGTCCAGATCCACCCACCCCACCGACCTCCCCCGAGGGACGGGGATGGCCCCCCCCCACCGCTGCACCAGAGCTGCCACACCCTGGTGGCCTGTCGCTCCCTGACACAGCAGCGTCCCAGGGAAGAGCACACCCACGGTGGGAGCCAAGGCCCTGCAGACCCATGGATGTGGAAGCTCTTTCCCGCCCAGAGAGGTGCCCACGGCCTGTCCAGGGCCTGCGCTAGCCGCCCCCCCATGCACCCGTGGCCCGTGCTGCCTCCCCACACTCCCATCAGCCGGCGACACGCGGGAGCGGCCAGGGGAACAGCGGATCCCCGCAGGTGAGCAGGTCCCCAGGACGCAGTGCTCAGGTGGCGGTCCTCACAACCCCCACGACTGACTGACATCGCCGACTGTTCCAGCCACTGACAATGGGGGTCATCCTGAGTATCTGACCGGTGACCTGGCTCAGTCATACAGTTCTTCACTTTGACTTCAAACAGGACCCTTCCCACAGACCTTCCACGTGAGGCTGTTTCCGTGCAGAGGACGAGGAGCAACCTTGCTTGGACCTGGACGCGGCCACTTGGGCTGTGTCACCTGCACGTGCGTTGAGCAGCGTGGGCCACGCATATGTGTGCAGGGAGGGTGTGCACGCGTGTGCATGCGTGTGTGCACACGATGTGCTCCCTACGTGGCCAGCTCACTCGCAGGCACGTCACTTACCTGTGAGAGCATATGTGTGTGTGTAAGAAACAATTTGTTGTTTCCAATCATGAACCTGTTTCCAAAACGGCACAACACAGCAAAACTTTGGAGGAAACAGTCTGAGAGAGTCACAGCACACTGGCCCGTGCACACAGCGCAGCAGTGGCCATACCATTACCCAGCGCTGAGCTAGTCACACCTCGGCTGCGGCAGGAGGTCCTGCAGGAGTGGCCCGTCACTGCTTGGTGTGGCGCTGACCGATGCCTTGCCTTCCACGTTCTTCTGCAAGGGCGAGGAAAAACACTGAGACGGCTGTGGCCAGCAGGGACACAGGCAGGGCCACCGTTGGGCTGGGGCTGCCATGGCCTCTGCCCCCAGCTGCTGTAGACATGTGACTGTGTCAGCACTGATGTGCACTGTCCCCAGGCCCCGACCTGGAGAAGGCCACAAGCCCTTGTCGTGGAGTCTGTGCGTGACTGTCCTGGAGCTGCCAGGGCAGGCAAGGGCGCCCAGGGCTTCCGCCGGAAAACAGACCTCGTTCTGAGGAGAGCAGCCCACGTGGAGAAACCCACACCAAGAACAGAGAGACAGTGACAGGGCTCAGAGGAGAGACCATGGCACCCAGAAGTGGCAGAGGGCCTGAGGTCCCGCCACTGGAAGAACTGCCTGACAGTCCCTGCTCCCAACGCAGCCAAGAGGACAGGATGTGTTTCCAGAATCCCAAAGCCACGCTCCTGCCGCGCTCGCCCAAGCTTCCGCGCGCCATGTCTTCGGCAGGGCTGTGGGTCCCACAAAGCGCAGCCAATGTGCCCTGGAGGAGCTGCCCTGCCACTGCCAGGGAGAAGCGACCTGGCCACACTGTGTCCTAGAGGCTGAGGCGCTCGAGGCGCTGCACATCAACGGCCGGGCGTCCGGACCTGAGATTTTCTAGCAGAGCCTTCTTAGTTTCTCAGGAACAAGGAACAAGGGAATTTTAAGAGTTGAAGGACTACGAACTTTGAATCGCAGAACTGCAGGTTTGAAATGGCAAATGTCCACGGGAGGAAAACGGACCGACCAAAGGATGGAGTTGCTGCCCTTCATAGGGGACAGTGATGCAGAATGACGTCACGTGCAAATACGCAGATGGTCAGAGGGGTAAGTACGCATGCATCGTATGTGTAAGTTTCACACATATATAATACATACACCTGGTGCCTGTAACTTTTTTTTTTTTTTTAAATAGGAGTAGGTTAAAAGAAAAATTCCCATCCATTTGAAGTAAAATATTTTCCACATAAAGACTAATGGAATGTTTATTCCTCCAAAGTCTGGCAGGACTCCGGGAAGCCTTATAGCACCACAGAGCATGTCTTGTGTGGGCCGGGCGTGTGGCAGCAGGGCTCTGCATTAGGGTGGGTGCTGGCAATGCCGCGGTCGTCACCCTGAGGCTTGAGGCCCTACCACGGTGGCCATGGAAACCTCAGGGCACCTTCTCCCACAGGTGCTGCATGCATCCAGAGCAAACCAACTCTTCATAAGCCACATCAATGGCTGAATATTTCCAGCCCAGAGTTGGCATAAATTGGCATAATTTAATCAGTTTCATAAGGACCTCCTGTGACTTGTTCAAGTGTTCCTAACAATTTCCTAAATGTTTTTGTGTAAAGAGTGAGATGAAATTATGTAATTTATTCTAACAAATTCTGATGGCATGAAATTAGACAAATTTGATTGCCATTAATTTCCTGGACTTAAAAAATGTACCATCTAGTTAGTTAAAAGATAGGGTTTAAAATATAAAGGAGAGGAACTTATTATTCTTTTAAAAGCCTTTTTCTTGCTTTAGGCATTTTTCTGCACTGGTAAAACAAAAATATGCATTTTCAAAATATCATTCATTTCGAGGCATACATAAATGTATTTAGGGACATGAACAAACTGATAAACAGAACACGATCTCCAGGCAACATCAGGTCCCTGAAATCTTGATCTGGATGAAGAGGCTCTGATCATGAGCAGCTGCCACAGAAAAATGCCATGTGGGTGGATCTGCATTGCCAAGAAAGGCGCCCATGATCATTTAAAGCAAATTAAAAGGGTTTTCTAAATATAAAAAAAAAAGTATTTAAAAAAAAGTGAAAAGGGAATTTGTTTTAAAAAAAAAAGTAAAAGGGAACTGGACACAAAACACTTTCCTGCCTTTTGTCTAGTCAGAGGGGCTTGGCTGTCTCCTCTCTCCTGCAGTGCTCTGGGGCCTGTCCTCAGTTTCCCCATCTGCAGAACGGGTGCAGAGGTCAGCATGTGGTGAGGCCTTGTGGCCCATCCTCCATGGGCTGTGGAGGGAAGGCAGCGCTGAGAGAACTCTGCTTGTGGGACACACCTGCGCCTCTGTGCATGAGGAACTGAACGGATGGCGTGAGTGACAGTTTGATGTGGCACAGCACGTGGCCCTGGCTGTGCCTGAGCAAAGACGCCGTGAGCCCAGCCTCAGGGGGCCTGATCCTAACGGACACTGATGGTCTATTGCTCTTGAGGGAGCACAGCCCACGGTCAATGCCTACGTCTCAAGACCCACGTTATCAGGGTGTTTCTGGGTGCGGTGGTTGTTAGACAACAGATGTAAACGCCAGAGTACGTGCACCGGGCGGGCAGCAACCCTCCGCTGTCCTGAGACCACCATCCCAAACATGCAGAAAGGCAGAAAAGCGTCACCTTGTTCCGTCAGAAACTCAGACTGCTGGAGGTCTGAGAGAGCATGAAGACGGTGGGCTGCTCGACAGAAAGGCACTGGGTCTCAGTCTGCCATCCCGCGGCCACACGCGCCACGCCCAGCACGCGTGTTCAGACAGGCAGAGGTTATTTAGGCAAAGTGGTCAGAAGACAAGGAGACGAGGAAGGAAGAGAGAAACAAGAGAAGTGGTGAGTTGAATAAGGCGAGCACGTCCAGCACATGAATGCTGCTCAGTTTGGCAATGACACTGCCCGGGCTACCCCGCTGCACGCCTCCTGGGCATGGACATCAGCACAGCAGCGGGACCGTAAAGCAAAGGATGACACAGGCAAGCTCCTCACTAGCCCCTCCAATGTGCCCCTAAGGAATGCCCCTTCCAGAAGATATCCTGCAGAGCGTGTCCTGTGGTCAGACGCGTCTGGGGCCAGCACTCAGCTGCCTCCTTCTGGAAGCTGTGCACATTTTCATGACAAAGCTCCAAGGGGCCCCGGGGCGAGGAGCCCGCTCAACACCTGCAGAGCATAACCCTGTCGGGCTCAGGCATGTCTGACCACACACCTCGACATCTGTGAGTGTCTGCTACTAGGTGGTGCCTGGAGCCCGGTCTTGTAAGTACTGAGCCACCTGGCTGTGGCCATGGCCAGGGGACCCAGCGGACTCCCCCTAAAGAGACAGGTGCATCTGCTATCTCCTGGGGTCAGACCCACAACTCTGATTCCCCTGTGTGTGGTGCTGTCATGAACACGTGTCACAGGTGTGCACAGGGTGTTGTCATGAGCGCACATGATCTTGTTTAGAGAAAAGTGCTGGTGGACTGTGTTTTCCCATGGGTGCTGCTGGGNGTGCTCAGGTGGCGGTCCTCACAACCCCCACGACTGACTGACATCGCCGACTGTTCCAGCCACTGACAATGGGGGTCATCCTGAGTATCTGACCGGTGACCTGGCTCAGTCATACAGTTCTTCACTTTGACTTCAAACAGGACCCTTCCCACAGACCTTCCACGTGAGGCTGTTTCCGTGCAGAGGACGAGGAGCAACCTTGCTTGGACCTGGACGCGGCCACTTGGGCTGTGTCACCTGCACGTGCGTTGAGCAGCGTGGGCCACGCATATGTGTGCAGGGAGGGTGTGCACGCGTGTGCATGCGTGTGTGCACACGATGTGCTCCCTACGTGGCCAGCTCACTCGCAGGCACGTCACTTACCTGTGAGAGCATATGTGTGTGTGTAAGAAACAATTTGTTGTTTCCAATCATGAACCTGTTTCCAAAACGGCACAACACAGCAAAACTTTGGAGGAAACAGTCTGAGAGAGTCACAGCACACTGGCCCGTGCACACAGCGCAGCAGTGGCCATACCATTACCCAGCGCTGAGCTAGTCACACCTCGGCTGCGGCAGGAGGTCCTGCAGGAGTGGCCCGTCACTGCTTGGTGTGGCGCTGACCGATGCCTTGCCTTCCACGTTCTTCTGCAAGGGCGAGGAAAAACACTGAGACGGCTGTGGCCAGCAGGGACACAGGCAGGGCCACCGTTGGGCTGGGGCTGCCATGGCCTCTGCCCCCAGCTGCTGTAGACATGTGACTGTGTCAGCACTGATGTGCACTGTCCCCAGGCCCCGACCTGGAGAAGGCCACAAGCCCTTGTCGTGGAGTCTGTGCGTGACTGTCCTGGAGCTGCCAGGGCAGGCAAGGGCGCCTAGGGCTTCTGCCGGAAAACAGACCTCGTTCTGAGGAGAGCAGCCCACGTGGAGAAACCCACACCAAGAACAGAGAGACAGTGACAGGGCTCAGAGGAGAGACCATGGCACCCAGAAGTGGCAGAGGGCCTGAGGTCCCGCCACTGGAAGAACTGCCTGACAGTCCCTGCTCCCAACGCAGCCAAGAGGACAGGATGTGTTTCCAGAATCCCAAAGCCACGCTCCTGCCGCGCTCGCCCAAGCTTCCGCGCGCCATGTCTTCGGCAGGGCTGTGGGTCCCACAAAGCGCAGCCAATGTGCCCTGGAGGAGCTGCCCTGCCACTGCCAGGGAGAAGCGACCTGGCCACACTGTGTCCTAGAGGCTGAGGCGCTCGAGGCGCTGCACATCAACGGCCGGGCGTCCGGACCTGAGATTTTCTAGCAGAGCCTTCTTAGTTTCTCAGGAACAAGGAACAAGGGAATTTTAAGAGTTGAAGGACTACGAACTTTGAATCGCAGAACTGCAGGTTTGAAATGGCAAATGTCCACGGGAGGAAAACGGACCGACCAAAGGATTAGTTTCTCAGGAACAAGGAACAAGGGAATTTTAAGAGTTGAAGGACTACGAACTTTGAATCACAGAACTGCAGGTTTGAAATGGCAAATGTCCACGGGAGGAAAACGGACCGACCAAAGGATGGAGTTGCTGCCCTTCATAGGGGACAGTGATGCAGAATGACGTCACGTGCAAATACGCAGATGGTCAGAGGGGTAAGTACGCATGCATCGTATGTGTAAGTTTCACACATATATAATACATACACCTGGTGCCTGTAACTTTTTTTTTTTTTTTTAAATAGGAGTAGGTTAAAAGAAAAACTCCCATCCATTTGAAGTAAAATATTTTCCACATAAAGACTAATGGAATGTTTATTCCTCCAAAGTCTGGCAGGACTCCGGGAAGCCTTATAGCACCACAGAGCATGTCTTGTGTGGGCCGGGCGTGTGGCAGCAGGGCTCTGCATTAGGGTGGGTGCTGGCAATGCCGCGGTCGTCACCCTGAGGCTTGAGGCCCTACCACGGTGGCCATGGAAACCTCAGGGCACCTTCTCCCACAGGTGCTGCATGCATCCAGAGCAAACCAACTCTTCATAAGCCACATCAATGGCTGAATATTTCCAGCCCAGAGTTGGCATAAATTGGCATAATTTAATCAGTTTCATAAGGACCTCCTGTGACTTGTTCAAGTGTTCCTAACAATTTCCTAAATGTTTTTGTGTAAAGAGTGAGATGAAATTATGTAATTTATTCTAACAAATTCTGATGGCATGAAATTAGACAAATTTGATTGCCATTAATTTCCTGGACTTAAAAAATGTACCATCTAGTTAGTTAAAAGATAGGGTTTAAAATATAAAGGAGAGGAACTTATTATTCTTTTAAAAGCCTTTTTCTTGCTTTAGGCATTTTTCTGCACTGGTAAAACAAAAATATGCATTTTCAAAATATCATTCATTTCGAGGCATACATAAATGTATTTAGGGACATGAACAAACTGATAAACAGAACACGATCTCCAGGCAACATCAGGTCCCTGAAATCTTGATCTGGATGAAGAGGCTCTGATCATGAGCAGCTGCCACAGAAAAATGCCATGTGGGTGGATCTGCATTGCCAAGAAAGGCGCCCATGATCATTTAAAGCAAATTAAAAGGGTTTTCTAAATATAAAAAAAAAAGTATTTAAAAAAAAGTGAAAAGGGAATTTGTTTAAAAAAAAAAAGTAAAAGGGAACTGGACACAAAACACTTTCCTGCCTTTTGTCTAGTCAGAGGGGCTTGGCTGTCTCCTCTCTCCTGCAGTGCTCTGGGGCCTGTCCTCAGTTTCCCCATCTGCAGAACGGGTGCAGAGGTCAGCATGTGGTGAGGCCTTGTGGCCCATCCTCCATGGGCTGTGGAGGGAAGGCAGCGCTGAGAGAACTCTGCTTGTGGGACACACCTGTGCCTCTGTGCATGAGGAACTGAACGGATGGCGTGAGTGACAGTTTGATGTGGCACAGCACGTGGCCCTGGCTGTGCCTGAGCAAAGACGCCGTGAGCCCAGCCTCAGGGGGCCTGATCCTAACGGACACTGATGGTCTATTGCTCTTGAGGGAGCACAGCCCACGGTCAATGCCTACGTCTCAAGACCCACGTTATCAGGGTGTTTCTGGGTGCGGTGGTTGTTAGACAACAGATGTAAACGCCAGAGTACGTGCACCGGGCGGGCAGCAACCCTCCGCTGTCCTGAGACCACCATCCCAAACATGCAGAAAGGCAGAAAAGCGTCACCTTGTTCCGTCAGAAACTCAGACTGCTGGAGGTCTGAGAGAGCATGAAGACGGTGGGCTGCTCGACAGAAAGGCACTGGGTCTCAGTCTGCCATCCCGCGGCCACACGCGCCACGCCCAGCACGCGTGTTCAGACAGGCAGAGGTTATTTAGGCAAAGTGGTCAGAAGACAAGGAGACGAGGAAGGAAGAGAGAAACAAGAGAAGTGGTGAGTTGAATAAGGCGAGCACGTCCAGCACATGAATGCTGCTCAGTTTGGCAATGACACTGCCCGGGCTACCCCGCTGCACGCCTCCTGGGCATGGACATCAGCACAGCAGCGGGACCGTAAAGCAAAGGATGACACAGGCAAGCTCCTCACTAGCCCCTCCAATGTGCCCCTAAGGAATGCCCCTTCCAGAAGATATCCTGCAGAGCGTGTCCTGTGGTCAGACGCGTCTGGGGCCAGCACTCAGCTGCCTCCTTCTGGAAGCTGTGCACATTTTCATGACAAAGCTCCAAGGGGCCCCGGGGTGAGGAGCCCGCTCAACACCTGCAGAGCATAACCCTGTCGGGCTCAGGCATGTCTGACCACACACCTCGACATCTGTGAGTGTCTGCTACTAGGTGGTGCCTGGAGCCCGGTCTTGTAAGTACTGAGCCACCTGGCTGTGGCCATGGCCAGGGGACCCAGCGGACTCCCCCTAAAGAGACAGGTGCATCTGCTATCTCCTGGGGTCAGACCCACAACTCTGATTCCCCTGTGTGTGGTGCTGTCATGAACACGTGTCACAGGTGTGCACAGGGTGTTGTCATGAGCCTAAAGAGACAGGTGCATCTGCTATCTCCTGGGGTCAGACCCACAACTCTGATTCCCCTGTGCGTGGTGCTGTCATGAACACGTGTCACTGCACCCCCTGTGCACAGGGTGTTGTCATGAGTGCACATGATCTTGTTTAGAGAAAAGTGCTGGTGGACTGTGTTTTCCCATGGGTGCTGCTGGGTGGGGTCAACAACGTTCTCCACTGAAGTGCTGGGGCAGCTGAGTCCTAACACCAGAGATCCCTGGGACCCCGCAGCAGGACCTCCCTGGAAGGCAGCAGCGGGACGGCATTCTGCTGTATTTCTCCTGCCTGTGAGCAGAGGGGAAAGGGCTCCGATTTGTGAACATATCCCTGTCCTCCATGAGTTTTGTTTAGAGATGACTTTAAGCAACCGATGGTAAATTGTGTATGGACGTTTTTACTATTGCTGGGAAGAGGTCTCCTCATCGTGAGTTTTTATCAGCACCAATTTTACACACTAGGGCAGGAGGCGTAAAGGAGGCAATTAGTGGGAACTGGAGGTATTGGATTCAAATTTTAAATTACCACAAACATTTGAAGGAAGCATACAAACCAGGATCCCGTTCACACTGTCGGGGATCGGTGGTGGGTGGGGCCGTGCCAACCCCAGGTAAGGCTACCTGTGTTCCACCCCAAACACCTGGAGGCTGAGCCCCTGGTGCCATCAGAGCTGTGGGGAGCAAGCATGTGCCCTCTGTCCCCTCCCTCTCCACGTCTCCTCCAGGGAGGGCTCATGTCCTGCGGGAGCAGCCACTGCTGTGGCCTGTGCCTCCTGTGTCCTCGGTGAGGTCCTGCGCCTCTGTGGGCACACAGCCAGCTGGGGAACTTGTTCCAGGGCCCATCCCGTAGCCTGATGAGGAACTTCTGGGGATGGAACTTAAAAATCTGCATTTGTAATAAACTCCTAAGGGAGGGAGACCCCAGAGCACACACGAGGACTTTGTCACGTTGCCCCAAATCCACAGTCAGGTTTGCTGCTGAAGCCACAGAACGGGGCGAGGCAGGGGGCGAGCGGTTACCCAGCCCCCAACCCGAGGCCTGGGCTGCCCCTGCACCCCCCTCACTCCCCACAGAACCTGAGGCCAGAGCTGTGGCTGCTCCAGAAGACAGAGGGGGCGGGGCAGCCCCTGCTCGCACCTGCGCCAGGTGGGCCTCCTGCAGAGGTCAGTTCTTTCCTGACCCCAGAGTTCAGCTTGTCAGCCCCAATTTGGGAGTGTGGAAAAGTAGCAGCCCTACCAGTACCCAGTGCTTCCTAACAGGAGTTCAGAAGTTCCAAGCCGAAGTCTCCATCCTTAAAAATGAGGTCACTTAACCTTTAAAGTAAGGATTCATTGAAAAACTTTTTTGGATTTGCATAAAATAATTTGTCTTTTGTATTAATCTTTGTTCTCTTATTCTTTTTCTTATGTTGGCTGACTTTTTAGGGCTAAACACACAATTAAACATTGCTCATTTTGGATTCTACCTAATTGAACGTTTAAAGTCATGTATCTTTATGAAATTCATCAGTAGTACTCAGACTAACCACATTTTTATAAAACCCAAACCTCTTACACTATTATACTTATTATTTCCCAACCTTAAAACCCGGAAACTGGCCCCAGCTGGGCAGGGCTCGTACCTGGGCTCTCTCTGCTGCTGTCGGCCGCAGCTGCCTGCACAGGACTTTCTTGAGTACATCGGGAAGGAGGCTCACGGTGACCAGCAGGACGATGGCCAGCCACGCGGGGCCACTGGACAACATCTGGATGAACACGTAGTACATCCGCTGATAGTTGAGGAACGGCCTGCAGGGCAGAGGGGAGAAGAGAGCAACAGCGGTGGCAGATCAGAGGGTGCTGGGGGACACCCGGACCCCGACGTGCGTTCTCTGCTCACACAGGGAGGCTGTCTGTCCTGGGAATTTTTCTTTTGTCGCTTACAGTCAACGGGAAAGCCATCGACCTGCCTGCTCTGAATCTGCTACGTAAAAAGTGGGACACAGAGCCTGCTCTGTAATGCCGGGGTGTCACGAGTGGGAATGGGAGGAAGGAATTCTACACGGTTGTTTCAGAGGGACAATCGGAGTCCCTGATGTTCAGTTTCAGGATAGCAAAAGAAAAGTGATTGAACCAGGTGGAGTTTCCCCTGTCTTGGAAGCGCAACCCCATCAGCGGTGGTTAATGTGGAGAAGACGTGCGTTGTTCTGATGAGCAGAGCAGGTTAACCACCTGACGCTTCTGCCAAGATAGAGCACGGAGTGACCTCCTACCAGGAAAACTTCCCACTCAAAGAAAAGACGCACATCAGGCTCTGCGACACGTGTTAGGGATGCAGGAATCACCGGCAGGATGCTAAACTGGGTTACGCCGTTCCTTCTTTAATATGTGTTTCCAACTAACATTTATTAATCACCTCCTGTGTACCGGGCACCGTGAGCAGTGTTGGGGACACAGAGGTGAAGCCCCTCCCCGTCCGGCTGTTGTATTTCGTGTGGACGGTGAAAGGGAGGGGTTGTGAAGGCAGAGGCAGGCAGGCGCCTAGCGGTACCCGGTCGTCAGAAGCTGCTGGAAAGGCCCGGGGTGGCGTGGGGTCCCTGCAGCTCCTGAGAGCAGAAGGCTGGGGTCTCATCCCGGTTGTGGTAATGGCGTGGGTTCTACTACATCTTAGTGTCAAATCCTTGGACAGCAGATGCAAGAGCCACGTGGCTCTTCACCGAAGCCTCCAGGGCTGCAGCCCCTCAACCTCAACCCCAGGGCCCAGGAGTGAGTGAGGGACGTTTCGGGAGGAAACATTCCTCCCATGGAGACACGTGGCTTTTGCAGGAACCTTGGTTCTTTGGCTCTGGTGGGGCTGCTAGGGACCCACAGAGGCTCATCTGGCTTCTCCCTGTGTCTCCAGGGACCGTGCAACATGCCCTGTGGCCACTAGGGCCGCGCATGGACCGAGATCACCATTTCGGGAGGGACAGTCAGGGATGGGAGGGCTGAGGCGTGTTTTCAGGCGATTTCAGGGCCACCTGCTCTCCTGGCTGCGTGCCGCCATGGGGTTCACAGAGACAAGGACCTTGCTGCTGGCCCCACAGTCGGCCAGGGCTAGCATGAGGTCAGCCTGCCCAGTGGGGGCCGCCACACACGCCCAGGTCCTGGTCCCAGTTCCAGCCCTGCTCAGGAAATCTTGTCCTGCAGTGAGAGTGGTGAGAGATGCCCGTGCTGGCGCCTGGGGACGAGGGGCAGCTGCCCTGCCTGTGAGGGGCACGCAGGTGGGGTCTTGAGGAATGAACAAGAGCTCACCAGCTGGGCAGTGGGGAAGGGTGGAGACTACTGTGCCGGGAGTGGTGTCGACATCGCCTGGCCCAACTGGCCGGCTCAGGACTGCCTCCACTGAGTCTCTGGACTGGTCTGCTGTCACCATCTCTAAACTGGATGTCCTGTGAGGCCACCAGCTCACCTGCACCACGGTGGCTACAGCTGGCTTGCTGAGAGGGTGACCCCCTGCATTCTTCTGTCTTCCTTCCTCTGGTGACCACCGAGGCAGGCCACAAGCCCCGTCAGGCTGCCCCTGCGGACTGCCCGCCCGACCTGTGTGGCTCTGCACGTGCTCCAGGCTCGCACACGTGGCTGCCTCCGCTGAGCCACAGGCACCTTCTCGGGAGCAGCCTTGCTGGTGCTGGCTGCACAGCTCCAGGGCCACTGGTGTTCACTGCACGACCTCTGTCTTGTCACTTGCCTAGTGTGGAGGATGTGGCCGTGTGAAGACTCAGTGACACGACTGTCAGATTCTCCGCAAGGTGCCTCATTCTCGGGAGTGTTTAGTAAAGGTGGCCTGTTGTGAAGACGCTGATTTTCTTCCAGGTTTCAGTTTAAACGACAACTCGTTTTGAGAAGTTACCTCTGGCCTTACGATCTGAGAGGTCCCCTAGGTAGTGCCCTGGTCTGTTCCTCCATCTGAGGGGCAACAGGTCTGACACCGCTCTCCTGCGTTACCCGTTAGTGTGTCTCCCCCACAAGGGCAGGGTGAATCCTGTCCTCTCCCCCTGCTGTATCCAGGCACCGGCACGATGCCCAGCGCACAGCAGGCACTCAACAGATGCTCAAGCCCACGAATGAGGTTGTACAGAAAATGCGTCAGGAACCCTTGGTAAACACAGTGTAGGACTGTTAAGGTAACAATATCACATGATATTTATCAAATTCATACCAGATAATTCCTCCCCAGAGTAGGGAAAAGACAACGTAGAACAGCAGCGACCCCCAGATGACGAAATGGTTTATCCAAGTCCAGTAGCGTGTGTCCAAAGCAAGCTGCAGGAAGAGAAGAGGCGATGGTCGGTAGTGGCACTGCCCGGGCACGTCAGCAGCGGCCACGACGGACAGGAAAGAACACAACGCAAACCCAGACCCACCCAACCCAGCGACCACGGCCACAACCACGAGAACTGAATACCTGCAGAAAACGTCAGGAAAAACAAAACCAAACTTCACGTTTCCAGCGGAGAAAAAGGAGGTGGCAATGGCACAGCCCTCTGAATGACACTCCTAGTAAACCCGCACCCAGGTCCCACGGAAGGCGAGACCGAGGGGAAGACTCGGGGGCTACAGAGTAAGGTGTCGGTTTATGGTACTGCCTGAGAAAAGTTCTTCAGGAGTTTTCCCAGGCCACTTTATAAGACTCAGTCTGATAGGTTTGGGGACTTTCATTACTATATTCTATATAGAATTTGACTTGCCTTTAAAATGAGCTGAATTTTCCAAAATATGCTAATTTGTTTCAATTAAAGCATATTTTGGTTATATTGGGGGTGGGGCTGCTTGCTATTTAAAGCAATTCTAATGTGAATCCTTTAATAGAGGAAAGACTCATTCCTCAATTTACCTTCCGTGTAATTCTGGAAGCTCGCATGGGGGTCGCCCAGGTGGGCCGAGGTACGCATGTTATGCATTTAAAATGCAAGAACCCCACACCTGGGAAGCCCAGGAGCTTGCCTGGCCTGTGTGCACTGGTGGCCTCGGGCCCTGTGCAGATTTACAGTTAAGAGGGTTCAGAGAGGGTGAGATCTCCACACAGCAGGGTTAACCGTGGCTGGAGGACGAAAAAGAACGTGGAATAATTTACCTTTAGTGTGACCGTAAATACCATCACAGTGAACACCAGTGTCCCGAAGGTCCAGTTTCCAAATATCTGTTTGGGGAAAAATAGTCCAAGCGATCTCTTGTTATTATGTATTTTTCCTCTCTCACACTCAAAACAAGAGTTCTACAGAATATACCTTATGGTCCTTGCATGCCAACACTTCCACCGCCAAAGAAATCCTGTAACTAAGTAAAAGAAGATGGCTTGGCCAAAACCCCCCTGGAGCACAGCAAGACCCCCTGTCTCCTGAATAGACACCTCCCGCCACCAATTCTGTGCCGGGTGATGGGCTGAGAGTCCACTACTCTGACCATTCTGCTGGCCCTGCTATATTCTGCCCTGCTCAGCCTTCTCACTGTTTCATCGGTCCTAACATCTCAAACCAAGAGCACAAAAAAGATCTCACAGCTGATATTCATATATGCTCGATGCAAACTCGGGGCACTCCAGCCTCTTTCCTGTTTCATGTTTTATGCAGAAGAGACGCTGGCCTGGCCACCTTGCCTCTGCATCTTTCAACAACACACCCAGAGTGTGTGTGTGTGTGTGTTCTCTACTGAGCTCAACTCAAACACCTGCTGCTGCTGCAGGAGAATAACTCTACAGCAGTGATGAAAGGGGAAGCACGGCTAAGACAGCCGGGCCACGTGTGCTGCTAGCATAGGACGGGGCTTTCCACGGAAGATCTCAGGAAAGGGAAGAAGTGAAGACAGACAGGACAGAGCTGGACAGGGGCCGCCCTGCCAGCAGCCAGGCTGGTGGCCAGAGCCACAGATTCTCAACAACCAAACTGAAGAGGCCACTGCAGAGAGGGGACGCAGGCGGGACTCACACTCCCCTCGCCTCGGCGGGAAACGGTGATGTGTGGACGTGCAGACAAGGGTCAAACCCATGAAGACAACACACTTCTCAACCACAGACGAAGACACAAGCAAAAGAAAAGACCCGCTACAGCCGGCATCCTTCTCTCAGGGAAAATCAGTCGACGGCCAGTTTTATTCTACAAGTGCTGCCTTCTTCGAGGTTTCTATAGTGTGCAAGAATCGACCCATTTCCAGTTTATCAAGTTCTTGAACTGTGCCTCTCAGAGAATGGAACGAGAACTTCTTTCAAATAAAATTCAAGTTTTACTTTACAAATAATTAAAAAGCCGGAATGCAAATGGCTTTGCTTTATGGTTAGTTTTCAACTAAAAAAATACACCCATTAACTATAGCCATAACTCTAATTAGGTGAGCGTGAGGCCACGTGTCCTGTGACAGCAGGGACATTTTGTAACACCGAGCCCTGCTGCAGCTCAGCAGCGGCCTGCGAAGACACTCGGCCGACGAAGCGCTGGGGAGCAGGCGCTGCTGCGTTCTCCCTGGAGGCCGGCGTGTCAGCCACGCAGCGAAGCTGTGCTCAGCACAGGGCAGCTTTGCAGCCATCGGCCGAACGCCACAGAACGGCTCCCTCCCTGCCCGCTCGCCACTCTCTCCAACCCCAACCTTCATGCTGGCCACCCCCACCTGGCAGGAAGTGAAGAACTTTTTAAAAAAATGAGATAATGGCAAATTGTGGACATGGAGTATGCTTGACAGAGTAACAGGTGGGGCCAACAGCGTCGCATGAGGAGGGGCGCACGCTCTGTCAATACACCGGCAGCCTCACTCCCCGTGGGCTCTGCCTGGGAGGCAAAGGTGTGCCTTTACTTCCCCGAAGGGCCTCCTTGGAGCGGGTGGATCTGGCAGACCTGGAATCACACGAGGCTGTCGATGCCCAGTCCACTGGAGCACGTGGGCCACGGTGTCATTTTCCTAGGCACATAACAACAGGGTACAACTGTCTTGAACCCTGAATTGGGAGCCTTGGTTAGGACCCTGACACGCTGGCCCGTGCACTCTACCTGCACCCATGCAGCTCCACGACAACGTGCCTCCAGAAAGTCTCGGGGTTTCCTACCTGTTTCAGGTGGGAGCCCTCCCGCACTAGACGGTTGATCATCACACCTGCTGGCCACGGTTTCTATCAGGATTTGGGGCAAAGAGGCGGGATGAGTCCCTGGACACCAGCTGCTTTCTGAAAGGCTCTCGGGGGGCATCAGCCCAGCCCCATCCTGACGTGACGGCACATCTTGATTAACCATGTGACTATCTTGGCAGCCCCAGCGTGGTCCTGAGGGCCAGCTTAGGAGAGCTGTCTCAGACGCTGTCCCCAACCACCCGTGCAAGTCCGACCCCTCTCCTCTCCTCTCCCATCTCCGTCTGAAGAGGGGTACCCTCGTGGGAAGCCTTCTGCTCAAAACAGCCCTCAGATCCAGGCCCACTGAATCCCTGTGTGTAAAACTGCTCCATGACAAACACAACCTGTGCTTCTCCGAGCTCGCGGTCACAGCAATGCCTCCAGGTCCCCTCCCGCGGGCTCCCGTTCCCGCCAGCGTTCGCCGTGCACATTCCGCTGCCCTCCTCATGTTTCCTGACTCCTGTGCTAACGCGCTCCAAGCCTGTAAGCGTTCACGTAGGAATGCCCTGTCGCCCAACGACAGTAAAGTGACTGTCTTAGTGTTCCTGTCTGTGGCATCAAAACGAGAAATAATTAGGCCCAGACGTCGGTGCAGGAGATGCTCCGAAGTCAATCTCTCTCTTTAAAAAGTTAGTGATTCCGCTGTTCCCTCAACACTACACGCGATGTACAGACTCCTACAGAATCACTCAGATCTTTAAAAAAAACAGTCCTCACCTACTGACTAACAGAACGAGGCATCTAAACCCAAACACCAACAGGATGCACCTGGTTCTCCAGGGGATGCCATCAGAGGGAGACACGCAGCATGGCCACCAAACTGCCTGCCACCCAGGAACCAACAGGCCACCAGACACCTAAGGCCACCCAAGTTCCTTGAGCTTTGCAGAGCTATTTGAATTACCACAGAACCAGCCTGTAACACGCTTTTTACTTTAGTGGTGGAAGCGAACAGCCTCACCCCCCCCAAAACAAACACACAAAAATCTAAATGTCAGTGATCCAGGTGAGAAGGGCTCCCCAAGGCACGGCAGGGTTGGGTGGGTACAGAGTCAGGAAACCCGACGTCTCCCTCGGCCTTGCACTCGCCTGTGGCGGCCTCGGCCATCCCAGCCTCCTCCCTCACCAGTGATTCGGGGTGAAAACGTCCACCTGTGTCTCTGGCAGAGCTGTTGCTTATAGTATGGGTGTCACGACTGCTATCCGTGCTGATGTCACCGCTCTAAGCCTCTAGGTTCTTTGTCCTGCGTGGAGTTTTGATGACCTAGAGCATGCTTCACCTTCTCGATGTGCAACCCCAGGCAAGTGCCTCAGTCAGTCAGGACCCCAGGCCGGCACGGCCCCAGCCCCAGCAGGTGTCTCAGAGGGTCTCACGGGACGAGCCGTGTCTTGTGCACACAGTGGCGAGGGCTGGCACGTACAGCAGGGTGAGACCCCCGAGGCTCCCGGCCAGTGAGTGCTGGCCCCGCGGGGCTGCCTGGTGCTGGCTGCTGCTCTCTCTGTCCTGGTGCCTCTCTGTCTTCACCTCAAATTCGGACAAGTTGTGCCCTGTGATGGCCCACAACAGGAGCTCAGGGACAGGGTGGGGACATAGCAGTGCCACAGATCATCCCAGAAATGAAGGCACGCTCCACGGCAGCTCCTCTATGGATGCAGATGGGGCATGGGAGACAGAGAGCACACGGCGCAGCCGGGGACACACGGCACCTGGGATTGCAGGTGTCTGCTGGGAAGGCGCACTGGGGTCCCTGACCGGTGCTGGAGTGGGGTGGGGTGGTGGCGGCTGGCGGGACTTCCTAGGACGGGCAGCCTCTGAGTCCCTCCCTGCAGTTGGTTTTCCAGGGGCCCTGGTCAGGGCGTGACTGCCACGTCCACTCTGCAGTACTGAGCCTGAGCTGTGTGGAAACAGCCTGAGGGAAAACACTCTGCACACGCGTGCGCCCACCATCCGGGCTTGGGCTACTGGCTCGGCTCTCGTAAACCACCTGACCAGGCACGAGCTACTCCGCCTGTGTGAACTTCAGTTCCCTCAAGTGCAGACAATACTAATGTCCAACAGAAGGGTGACCCTGGTGAGGCAGGACACTGTTCGTGAGAGTGGACTATGAGATAAGGCGCTGGACCAGTGCGGCCCATCAGATCCTGACATGCTGACACGATCCCGGAACCTCAGCTGCCAGGATACAAAATCTCAGGCTTCCTAAGAGACGTGCAAGATGCTTACGTAAAGCCTAACCCACAGGGAAACCTTATAAAAGACACTTAAGAAGTAAAAGAGAGCTCCATTTCAATACAGGTTATGGTCTGGTGGCATTCAGTAATTATTCAATTAAAATAAACTAAAACAAAGAATAAATTCTAGGAAAAGTTTTTAGAATAGTGAAATAAGACTTAAATTGTCAAGATCAATTTAGATCAATTTAGTAAGTACTGATTTAAGTTATAGTGAAAGATAACATCACCTTTTATTAATGAGAAAACAGAAACAAACAAACGGGTAAACGAACTGCACAGGACATGTAACGAGACTTGTGCTTGAATCCGACAGCCTGAGGGGTGAATGACACAGGAGAATGAACGAGGACAAGAGGGGCGTGGGTCACACAGGAAATGAGATAGATGGCTGTTGACAAGTCACCCTAAAGAGGGTGCTGAAGAGGAGCTTCCTCTGACGTCATGGTACTGTTCACTCGTACAGCCAGGTGAGTACTCGTGACATTCATGTACGCACAGCTCTGCAGGCTTCTCGGCATCGCCCGTGGGTCTCTAAGTTAATACAGGTGTGCCACGCTCAGCAGGCCTCGTACACCGGCTCCCGCTGCCTTATATTTAAGGTAAACGAAGCTCAAACGCACTGCTCAGTCTGAAAGCAATCCTGACTCACTCAACTAGCAAGCCCAACACAGAAGCTCAGAGAGGGGACACCAGAATGCACACACGCCTCTCCAGCACAGCTTTAGTTCTAAAGAGAGCAGAGGGGTGGCAGTGAGCCACTGCTACTGACAAAGCACACAGAAGAGTCACATCTGAAAATATTTTCAAGAAATATTTTATTCGTAATACACTCCAAAAACACAGAGAAAGGACAAACCCACAGCCGTCTTACCATGTGTGTGTTGGTGGTCATTATCTGAGGGTGGAAAGGGAAGCAAGCAGCAAAAAGAAAAAAGCAAGATACGAATAAAACAAACCCCCAGAAATTAGGCAAAACAACCAGAGAGCTGCACGTCGATTAGAAAACTACAAATCTATTCATTGCACAGGAAACAGATACTTAAGTACTCGTGAAAAAATACTAAACATGTTAAACACGAAATTAATTCTCATATTAAAAAAGCAATGCCTGAATGATATACTGAACCCCTAGATAATAAGCTAACAGTGAAATCTAAGTTACAAAAACAAAGTCTGGTCGAGAACTCAGGAAGGACATTTCTTACAGGCATCAGGAGGCTCCGCAGAGCACAGCTTCTGCTGTCACTGTGCACTAATGGCACGCGTCCTTTAAAGCAATTTGAAAGGTGGATATGCGAATATGTTTGTCTAACCCATCAGGACCCTTCCAGGCTGCACTGAATCCCCGTTTTGACAAAATGACCGGACGGGGCTAGCAGGGTTTACTCCCGAGTGGCTAAGTCAGTGAGGTCAAGTCGGCACTGACCTGTCCATTGCTGGTCACTGTGGTATTTTCAAACACGAAGTAAGCACCGAAGAAGAATACCAGAGCATCAAAGACTCCCAGGAACGTCCAGTAAATGAACACCCGCCAGCGGAGCAGCGCGTTCTTGGCGATGTCTCTGCAAAGGCAGGAGGAGGAGGCTCGTGTTTCTGCGTGTGAGCACACAGCCTCCCCCAGTGGCCGGCCACCTCCCCGTACTCTGCGGAGTCGACCCTGTATATGATGGCACGTGTGACCGATAAACATCGGTGTGCACCCTCTGCCAGCAACAGCAACATGTTTTTCAGACTTAGCATCTTACTGCATATCAATGCTCCTGACTGATGTTTGCTTGAACCTTTTCTCTCTATTTGACTGTAATATCACTCGGGCAGAAAGATGCCAAATGCACATCTGCTTCTGAAAGTAATGAACACAGACCACAATGCACATGCTTGATATCCACCAATTAAAACAGATCGAAGAGCTCGAGTCTGCTACCCAGCTCGTGACGGGACCTTTGCAGGCTTCCTGGCAGGTGCACACCCACAACAGTGCACGCTCTTCTGTCTTCTCAGACTCACTCCTGATTGTCAAATGCACACAACAAACTCACAAGTCTGCCTTCTCACTGTTCTCCTGACCAGCTGCAGTGATTGTTTTGGACTCCAACACTTCAAGGTCCCACACAATTGTCTTCTCAGACTCACTCCTGATTGTCAAATGCACACAACAAACTCACAAGTCTGCCTTCTTACTGTTCTCCTGACCAGCTGCAGTGATTGTTTTGGACTCCAACACTTCAAGGTCCCACACAATGGCTAAATATTCTGATGAGGGCGGACAAGCCAGCACGGCTGGTTCCCAGAGCTCCTGACAGGGAGCACATGGTCATGGACCAAGGTGGTGGGTAAAGGAGCTGTGCTTGCGAAAATGCCACCTAGAGCTAAATACACACCAGCACTCTCACACACACATGGGTACAACTAAAGCTGGGCAGGCTGCTAAGATCGGTGAGTGAGGTCAACCTCACAGGCTGGCCGTGACACGGTGCCACAGTCTCTAATATGTCGCCATTGGGGAAGAGGGATAAAAGCACAGAAAATCTCTCTGTATTACTTCCTACACTTACATATGGATCTCAAATTATCTGAAAAATAAAAGTTTAATTAAAAAGACCACAAAAGGCAGTAACACATCAAATCTGCCAGACATCCTGGAGGGAAGTTTTAAGATAGTAGAAAATCTCTTTTCCTTATTATTGAAAAAGCTTTTCAGAAGAAAAGAGCATGCTGAAATCAGGGTGTTAACTTTACTTTTTTTCTCACCGATTAGAACACACTTGCTTTTAAAAGAATAATTTAGGCTATAAATTCATTGGGGTCACAATGGGATAGACACTCCCATCCCTGATTCTTTCATAAGTACCAAAAAGCACAGTAAAATGCAAACTGGCTTAACATGTTCATTTCAAATGCAACAGAAAACATTTATCAAAATTGGAAGTATATTTATTTAGATTGCAGAGCTTCCTGTTTAAAGAATCTCCTACAGAAGCAAGTGCATAGATGACACTGAATGTTCCCGGCATTTATCTGCAGGGACAGTTGTGCTGCTGCCTGGTCATCCTCTGTGCTCAGGGAAAGGCCTGTGGAGGTTCCCACCTGTACAGCGACGGGTCCCGCTTGAGCACATCTATGCTGACGTGCTGCTCCATCAGGCTGTACAGCAGGATCGGGAGCGAGGTGAAGCTGATGTTGTACAGGGTCAGGTACGCAGTATCGTACAAAGTCTGCCAGGAGAGAATGTCGGGCTGAAGCAGCCGCACAGCAGCCCTGCAAACCTTTCTGTGTGTTGATGAAGTGGATGTGGGCACTTCAGAACGTTCACGGAAAAACAGAATTAAAAGATAATACAAATCCTCCTGTGAACATTCTAAAGTGTCCTCGTGTACTTTTTCATTTGCAGAGAACTGTAAACATGCGTAAAATGCATCTGAAATGCATCATGAGCCCCTTCCCACACATGTACAAGGACCAGGAGAATTTTGAAACTTCATGGTGTGAACTAGTCAGGATCAGAAGAATGGCAGCTGGCAGAGGCTTACCTCTGGCCCGCCCCATTCCACCCCTGAAAACTTGCAGAAAAAAGAGAAAAAAAGTTATATAAAAAGTTTGCGGGCCGGCCCGGTGGCGCACTGGATGGTGCGCCGCTTGGGAGGTGCAGCGGTGCTCCCGCCCGAGGGTTCGGATCCCACATACAGACCGGTTCCCGCTCACTGGCTGAGCGAGGCGCGGGAGCAGCGCCGAGGGTTGCGGTCCCGTTGCCGGTCCCGGTCCAGTGTGGGGGCGACACTGAGGGTTGCAATCCGTTGCCGGACACGGAAAAAGACAAAAAAAAAGAAAAAAAAGTTTGCAATTCTGATTGCCGTCTATAAGCTGTGACTGCTCCGTTTCTGATCACTTCAGAGGGGAGCAGTTGGCCTGCCGTCCATCGGAGCTCTTCCCTTCTGCTGGGTCAGAACTGCCTCCACCTGGCACTCAGTTGGTACATCTCCACGTGCCAGATTCCAAGGATGACCCAGACATCCCAGGAGGACTCAGATCCACAGTAAATTCTTGATGTTAGGCTCAGAAGGCTCAATACACTATCACCTGGGCCCTAGGGGAGGCAGATCTCTGGCCACATCCCTCAATGGACATTAGAACGCCAGAGCCAGCAGACTCGGGCCATGGCTACTCTTGGCACCATGGTTCCCCAGGCCCGACCTGCACCCTGTCTGCGGGCCAGGCCAGGGGGCAGCCAGCGGGTGGAGGCCCCTTGACCTCCTTGAGGCTCCCCCGGGGAGGCTTCGCCCCCAAATGCTGACGTCTGCCCTTCACTGCAGCCACCCCCTGGACAGGGAAATCAGACTCAGGCAAGCTTCTAACCTCAGGCATTAGCACTGACCTGTTGTGAAAACCCACAGAAGAACTGGTATAAAAACTGAGGGAAGATGAAGCAGACGTTCTGAAAGACAAGTCACAAGCTGTTAGTTCAATGACACACGTGAGAGGCGTCCACCCCTTATTGCAGAACTCGGACGACGCATCGGCATCGCCTGCTTCATAGGGGGAGTGACCCTGATGTGTCCTATGCCCTAGAGCACAGACATCCGTCCCTGATTTCAACGGCAGCTGAAATGTACAAGCCACTATTTCTGGCCGCATGGAAGACCCATAGTGTACAAGGGAAATCCATTAGCTGAACGAGAAACGAGAGGCAGAGTAAGGATCAAGACAGACGAGGGAGAATTAACTGTACAGCGACCAGGGAACTGATTAAAGAGATTCATGATCAGCCCTTCCTTCTGACAGTTACTTGTCCTTTTAGATAAATGACCCCGTGACAAATGACATGCCACCAAGTATGTTACGTGCCCCTTGGAACAGGGAGAGGAGCCAGATGTCCCTCCTACCTTATAAAAGAAGTACTGCACGAGCTCAGATATCCTGACGTAATAAAAATGCCCGTGAACAAGCAGCATCTTCTTCAAATGCTTAAACTTCGGCACTGCGTAGTCGCTGTTCCTCGCAGCCTGGCGGCCTTCCTTCCCGATGACACCTGGGAGAAGGGAGCAGCGGCGCTGAGTAGGCCCCTTCTCCACACCTCGCGGTGAGAACAGGGAGACTGAACTGCCACGATGGGTGTTCCCAGTCACGGCGTCAGACGGGCCACCCACAGGCTGTTACTCTGCCTCAGCCTTGCTGATGGGGACCTCTGGCCGCCGGCGCGTGCCAGGCTTACCTATGCCCACGTGGGCCTCCAGGATCATGCTGACATCATTCGCGCCATCGCCGATCGCCAACGTGATGGGGTGCTCCTTTGAAAACTTGATCAATTTAACAATCTAGAAAGAAATGAGTGCAGAAGTTACCTTCCCTGTTTAGTTTCTGCTCAGGCCATTCATTAACTAGGCAGAAATAACAAGATGTAAAGTTAGTCTAAGAAAATAAAAACATTTGCTTAGAACTGATTTACTACATTCAATCTGTTTTCTCCATACAGGATGAGATCTTTTCCATACTGAAAACAAAACAAAATACAGCAGCAGTAACTAAGGCCTGATGACGACAGGAGCTGAAAAGCCAGACTGCGGACAGAGACGTGAGACACACAAAGTCGCTCTCAGTGACGGTTCCATTTACATGTTGACACACTTAGATGTGGGGAAAAATGAGGACAGACGAGAACACTGCACTGTCAGAAGATGCTGCTACTCCGAGGTATGCTGAGCTGCTTGCTGTCAAGCGTCTATTTTTACAGCAGGCTGTTCCTAATGCTATGTGACTTTCACACGGGTCATGTGTGCAGACTCAAGTCTGACAACTTCATGCTATGAATAATTTCCAAATTTTCAGGAAATGTCTTCATAGTCTTTCTTCCATTTCTGTGCCTAAGTGTCATGCTGTTCAAGACACAAGGCTGGGAAGAGGAGGGAAGATGGGGCCTTGCCTCCTTATTTTGAGAAGAGAGACTGAAACACAAATTAGTTTGTATAAGACTTTTCAAAAGTGAGCTGAAAACTTAAAAAAAGTACCGTGGAACACATGAGAGCGGACAGAAGACACTGAGCTGACATTCTTACAGTAACTGGATTAAGGTTTGCACAGAGCCAAACACATGAGAGGGAGAGCAGAGAAAAAGACCAGTTTATCCCAAAGAGAAAGGACGCAGATTCTCGAGTGTCCACTTGTCTTCACTGAGAACTACCCAGGGGAGACCCTGGTTCTGTGCTTTCAGTGATGCTGCCAGATGCATGACTACACATGCATGCGTGCTAAAAATTACCTCCTGGCGCCTGGGTTTCATAGACTGTGCCAGACACATTGTACCCTAACCACGAGGCTAATCTGAGATGTTACGGATTTCTTTCATGACCAATTCAAGATAAATTGGCTTACTGTATCTAAAATGTAGTATAACAAAGTTGGAACTGTTCTAGGTTTACTGACATCAGAAAGACACCCACACTTCTATATGTAATCCAGAATGCTTCTAAAAGTACTTAAACTTCAAGTGTGTGTTTCCCACAATAACATGGGGAATGTTTCAGAATATGAGTTTGGAGTCCGATAGACTAAAGGCAAATTCTGGCTGCCATTTTCTACCTACATCCTTCTGGACAAGTTATTCCAACTGGCAAAATTAGGATAACCTCGTATGTCTAACAGGGTTACTTTGAAGGCTAAATGCATTCACCTCTGCAGGTGACACACAGTAGGTGTTCAATAAGTGTCAGTGCCCATCCCTTACACCTTTCCGTGGATTCTGAATGATGGTAATGCAGGGCTGTTTTATAGAGGCAAGCCCGACACCTCTCCTGTGCTGCACCTGGAAGGCTCACCCTCTGATTTGGTCAACACTCACTAATCTCCAAGGCCGATCCCACAAGCAAAATAAGATCTGTGTTTCCAATCTCCATCTCCTTTGCTTCTATTTTAACAAGGTGGTACCTTGACAAATTTTTTAAAAATCAGAGGTCGTGAGACCTAATGAAAGGTTTTCGACATTTCATACACCCCGCCCACCACTGAGAAGGAAGGGCAGCAGCATGACCTGGGCCTTCTGTAAGGGGGCCATGCGGCAGCAGAGCACGGCGCTGCAGCTCCGGCAGATGTCAAGGAAGAGCTCCCTGTAGTTGCTGGAACTCCCATCTTCTCGAGGCTTCATGATTAAAGACAGCGCAGCTCCATCAATAATTAAGCCATAGTCTTGCATATCTGTTGAAAGTCTGTTAGATTACAACAAATCAGAAAGATTATTCTGTAATTAGATTTCAGAAGACTATAGTTTTGAATAGCTACAGATGCTACAAACTCATGGGACTAAGAAACTGATATTTCTTATTTTATCAATACGATCTTTATAGTATTGGATGTAACACCTTCAACTATATCTTAAGGTTGTACATTTTAAGACTACGTTTAATGCAACATTCTTATTTCACATAGGAACAGCAAAGGCGCACTTCTCTGTGGATTCGTGTGTAAGTTCCAGTGCTTCTGAAACAATATAAGGAGAGTATTTATCCTGCAGTCTAAAGAGGTCAGTCTTTACTCTCAAACTTTTTGGCCTCACTGGCTAACCTCAGTCTTCCTCTGTACGGATAATAGTGCCTTGGTTTTCTGGTCTGAGTTGGTAAGAACATAATTTTCTCTGCTGGGTTTCAAAATTATAAGGAACATCTCTAATCCTCCAAAAGAACTCTGCAGATCAGGTAAGGGCACATATCTTTGCAGTATTTATGAATGACCTAAAATTTCATATGATTATAGAGTTACTTTTGCTTTGCCTAAATGAATGAAAATATGATGGGTGCAAATAAAATCTAACCTCAGATAATGCACCTACCACCAGTAATGAAATACACCTGAATAAACTGCTGACTATTCTTGGCAAAAACAAAAACAAACAAACAATAAAACAACTGTTGGGCATATATTGCTTTGTCTTAGTAGACAAACCACCGTGCATTATTAATATTTCCTGACCTCCTCTGGCAGACGCTCCATCTACAGCGGAGCCCAAGTCTCAGAAGCAGGTGAGAATTCTCCCATTCAAAATATTTTATGTCAGTCAGTCAGTTACGTCTTTTTGTGTCCTTTACCCAGCAGTTTGAAACTGAACACGCACACACACACAAATACACACATGCATACGTGTATAAAAAGACACATCACACTCCTGAAAAGGAATAGCTCCTGTCTTGTTTTCATGTTTACTTGACTCATGATGCTTCTGATGTTAATGCCTGAGGACAGGACCGAATTCCCAGAAAGGACAGTGAGCCTCCATGACCTGCAGATGGAGGTCCTTCCCGTCTGAAAGCCCTTCTGCGTGGGCAGGGCAGTGCTGCCTACCCTGAGAGGTTGTCTCTGGTCAGGCTCCCGCTGTAGTGGAGGACGGTCTTGCTCAGCTCAAGCAGAACATCGTGCAGAGTCTGCTCCTCAATCTTCTTGGTGGTGAGCTCAAGCAGCTGCGTGTCTCTCCTGAACAGTCTGCAGGCATAGCAGGTGGCTGCAGCTGTCTCCATTTTGTCCCCAGTGAGAACCCAGACTTTGACGCCAGCTTTCTGCAGCGCTTCAATGGTGTCAGCAGCCTTCTCCTGGAGCCTGAGGAAAGCAAAGACAAAACACACAAAAATCAACAGCGACAGGGCAGAGTCAGAAACAGTGACACTGTTGACATGTTTTACCCTTCAAAATAAAAAAGCACGATGCTGCTGGCTCTCGATCTTAACTATAACGTCCCTGAACTTGCTTTTAAAGTTACAAATTAACGTTTTACAATGAAACACTTCATAGTATCAAATAGAAAGTGTAAGAAATAAAGTGGCTGTTCCGTATAATCTACGTTTGTCAAGCATCACAGTTTTCTGTCCTCTGGGACTCACTTCTTGGAGAGGATTTTAGGCAATTATGAGAAGGACCATATTAACTAAAAACAAAAAAGTCTTAACCAGGGTAAAAATGGGATCTAGAAATGAGGTTGCCAGTAATATTCATTATCTTTTCTTTTACTGTCCTAATTTTGCACATATCCACATGCAGTAACCAGCTAACAGGTGTTGGAGGCGGTGCCAGCACTGTGGGAGGCACCTGATGTATTATCTTTCATCTGCACCCCGGCCTCATGGGCAAGGAATTTATTATCACCCACTTTATGCGTGGAAAGCCCAAAGCCTGCAGCGGCTGCAGAGCTACAAAGGGCTGTCCTCACACTGGTCAACTGTGTCACTCTCCATCCTGGTGGCTTGCCGTTCTTTCTAGAGTTCAGAGTCCTAACTTCTGGTTGGTATGGGGAGTCACGTGTCATGTTTCCATAAAGTGCTGAGCAAAAGGAGAGTCACGTGTCATGTTTCCATAAAGTGCTGAGCAAAAGGAATGGGTTGTGGAGTGATCAGGTTAGGTTCCGGGAGGAACTTCCTGGATAAAAGTCTCGAGACCATAAAATCATGGTATTTTAGAGATGAAAATAACCATCTCTGATTTTATAAAAAGAAAACCGAGGCCCAGAGAGGTTTGAAAATATGCTGGCTACAGATCTTAATCTGCCATCAGCTATCATCACTTCAAAGCCACTCGCCCCGCACGCCGGCCAGTTCCCCCAGCCCAAGAGGCTCTGTTCACATCTGCTCTGCAGGGCTCCTGTGCTGAGCGGCCGTCCACTGCCCTCCCGNGAGAGGATTTTAGGCAATTATGAGAAGGACCATATTAACTAAAAACAAAAAAGTCTTAACCAGGGTAAAAATGGGATCTAGAAATGAGGTTGCCAGTAATATTCATTATCTTTTCTTTTACTGTCCTAATTTTGCACATATCCACATGCAGTAACCAGCTAACAGGTGTTGGAGGCGGTGCCAGCACTGTGGGAGGCACCTGATGTATTATCTTTCATCTGCACCCCGGCCTCATGGGCAAGGAATTTATTATCACCCACTTTATGCGTGGAAAGCCCAAAGCCTGCAGCGGCTGCAGAGCTACAAAGGGCTGTCCTCACACTGGTCAACTGTGTCACTCTCCATCCTGGTGGCTTGCCGTTCTTTCTAGAGTTCAGAGTCCTAACTTCTGGTTGGTATGGGGAGTCACGTGTCATGTTTCCATAAAGTGCTGAGCAAAAGGAATGGGTTGTGGAGTGATCAGGTTAGGTTCCGGGAGGAACTTCCTGGATAAAAGTCTCGAGACCATAAAATCATGGTATTTTAGAGATGAAAATAACCATCTCTGATTTTATAAAAAGAAAACCGAGGCCCAGAGAGGTTTGAAAATATGCTGGCTACAGATCTTAATCTGCCATCAGCTATCATCACTTCAAAGCCACTCGCCCCGCACGCCGGCCAGTTCCCCCAGCCCAAGAGGCTCTGTTCACATCTGCTCTGCAGGGCTCCTGTGCTGAGCGGCCGTCCACTGCCCTCCCGCCCCAGTGCCTTTAAGGATCGGTCCCGACTATTCCCCAGGCAAACGCCGCGGCATGAAACGTCCTGTTCCTCCTCACAGGTGGAGGAGGCGAGTGACTCGGCACAGCACAGCGCCTGGCACACGGCAGCAGCCCCGCAGCCGAGCCTGCCTGGCGACTCTGGCTGCACTTGGCAGAGCACGCCCTGCGCACAGGGCAGGCTGCTTCTGCGTGCTCACTCTGCACTGAATGAGGGTACGCGACCCAAGAGAAAACGAGACCAAACAGGACCACCCAAGTGAAACTCGCTATGCTGCCTCATGCTTCACTCATGTTGAGAGCTCTGGAGATATCTGTTAAAGACACTGGAGAAATGGAGGGTTAGAGACAAGGATTTAAGTTTTGAACCACAATGGATCTTAAAGACTTTAAAACGTCATGGTTACAACAACTTCCAGGAGATAAACTCGCAGTACATTTCCTGAAGTTTCTGTTTTATTATTTTAAATTGGGGTATTTTTTCCTCTTCTCCATTCCTTCAAATAAATCGTAACCCATCCCTTTCACTCCACTCTCAAGACAACTGGTGGGACAGATGACGCATCTCAGTGGACTAAGCCTTGAGTAACTTTCAGTCCTCATTACAGAACTGCAGCAGCTGAGAAGCTCTTTCTTTAGAGGTATCTGAAAATCTGTAATTGGTAATTTCACCAGTTACAATATTATTAGTTTTTTGCAGTATTCCATTTCATTGTTTTAAATCTCTTCCAAAAGTAATGAAAAATACGTTGAATATATCAAGATCTAAAAAGCAACAGCTGCGTTTGGAAAGAACTAGAAAAATCTAGAATTAGTTACTGATTCATTCTAAAGAATAATTTTCTTAAAAACCCATATCTGACTATTCATAACATAATGTGAAAATGCTGTTTTCACTATTTTCATGGAAAATGTGATTTCAGGCATCTTACTCATGAACAGCAAGATATTTTCCAGTCCTGATCCCCCATGACATTACTGCAGGCATGCAACAAGACGGACTGGTCTCTCCCTAATGAATAAACACGCCAGCATCTGGCGTGTTGGTGACTCTTCCACCTGCTCCCCCCGCACGACCCACGCTGTCGCACGGCATCATTATGTGTCTTGGAAGATGGGTGGGTTTGAGGTTTACTTTACCTGTCCTCAACAGCCGTCGCTCCAAGCAGAATAAGATCTTTCTCTATTTGTTCATAGGCTTCTGCTAGTTTTTTTTCTCGATCTTGTAGGGCCACTTTGGCAGCCTGCAGCAGTTGACAAACACCTCCATATTCTTCTTGTGTGAGTCTCTTATAGGCAACACACAGAGTCCGGAGCCCCTCCTGCAGAACACAACGCAGCATGTAACGTGAATTCACGGTGTCATTTGTTGAGACAGCACGTCCAACAGCTGTCTCAATATCCCTTCTCGAATTAGAATGAGCACC